TGAGTTGAATTGTCCACTCCTTCTGAAGCAAGTGTCGAATGGCCTTTACCAAGGCCTCATGCGTCCCAGGTAGTGGACCGGTACCATGAATGAGCTGCAGTACGCACTGACAATCTACCTCCGCTCGGACTCGTCGAAAGCCTGGTCCCATGCAAGCTGAAGCCCCTGAAAAAGACCTTATAGCTCGGCTCCAGTGATAGTACAAGACCCGATATTCATCAAAAAGCCCGCAATCCAAGCACCCCACTCGTTTCGAAGGAGGCCCGCAGCACTACTAAGGCCCGAGGACCGTCAAAAGCGCCGTCGGTATTCAATTTGAGCATGCCGTGCTCCGGAGGTGACGTATCCCATCAATTTTAACCATGCATTTTAAGCACTACTTAAATACAAATTCAAAATCGCAATCAATCAACTTTTTCTTAAAAAAAGTTCACTTTATCCAATAAATTCAATAAAACAGACAAATTTATTTTCAATCCTTAAGTTATCATCATTAAATTATTCAAAATCAGTGCTTAATTAATGAAGTAATGGTATTTATTTATATTTATTGATTGGAAGACGAATTTGTATATGAGAAAGATGATTCCAACGAATCTACTAAGAATCTTCCATGGTGACGAGAAAACTAATTTGACCTGAGCGACTTTTCAATCTAGTGTCATTTTATTTTTATAGTCCGTTTTATCAGTTTTGTTATGGAGTCATTCGACGGCCATCTATACTTATTTATCAATAATGTATTGACATGTGTCTTATAATAAATACACTTTAAACATATATCAATACATTAAGTGGTGGTTCCATAAGAAAAAACTATCCGATCACTCAATAAATTTTTTGTCCTTTTTAGTCTCCTTTTTCCATGTCTCTCAATTATTATTAGTTTGCATTTATAGGTACAACCGAGCCAATCCAACCTCTAAGTTCTTGATATATTTTTTGTTTGGTACAATAAAGAGAGGCTAAGGCCTACATGTTAGATATTAGAACACTTCGTGGGTATGTGACCTCGAGGATATCATGATGTAGCAGTTGTCGAGCTTCCCCCGATGGCTCATCCAATAGCTGGAAACCTGTTGGGCCACATGTGGCCACTCTGGCCAGACAGTCGGTTAAAATTTGCTTCTCGATATACGTGGATAATTTTCACCTTCCATAGCTTCATCAACAAATCTCTTATGGACCTTATCAGCGAACTATTGGTCTCATGCTCCTCACGGCAACTTTGTATCATTGAAAGTGCACTTAGGCTGTCTATCTCTGCTATCACTCGTCGATGCCTCAATTCCCATGCAACTTTAAGGCCATGGTAGATTCCCCAAAGTTCCGCTCCCGTGATCGAGCAAAAGGCTATGTTCATTATGAAGTCCTTAATCCATCGGCCCCAAAAATCACGTAGCGCGCGGCCCGCACTAGCCATGCCCGATGTTGGGTTAAAAGACCCATCCGAGTTCACTTTGTTCCATCCCTCTGGTGGAGGGGTCCAACGAATGTCCACCCGTTCTCTCCCGACCCCAAGACCCCCCCAGCTTACGTTCACCCATCACAGCTATAGAGACTATTCCTCTCAAACGAATGTCCACCCGTTCTCTGGTGGCCGCGCACCACGTTTCACCCCTTCTTAATAATTTTATCTAAAGTCTTTATCCAGCCTATTCGAGCGAACTTGAACTTAATTAGTTTATCATATTAAACATAAAAATTCGGAGTCTTTCACGAGTCGAATTCAAGTCTTATATATATTATTTTAAAATCATATTTTAAAATAATATCATGATGTAGCAGTTGTCGAGCTTCCCCCAGTTGTCGAGCAAAAGGCTATGTTCATTATGAAGTCCTTAATCCATCGGCCCCCAAAATCACGTAGCGCGCCGCCCGCACTAGCCATGCCCGATATTGGGTTAAAAGACCCATCCGAGTTCACTTTGTTCCATCCCTATGGTGGAGGGGTCCAACGAATGTCCACCCGTTCTCTTCCGACCCCAAGACTCCCTAGCTTACGTTCACCCATCACAGCTATAGAGGCTATTCCTCTCCAACGAATGTCCACCCGTTCTCTGATGGCTGCGCACCACGTTTCACCCCTTCTTAATAGTTTTGTCTAAAGTATTTATCCAACCTATTCGAGTGAACTTGAACTTAATTAGTTTATCAATATTAAACAGGAAAATTTAGAGTCTTTAGAGCATGCTTGGATATAAAGTTGTTTTTGTTTTGATTGGATTTTTTATTTGGGTTGGTTAAATTTGAAAAAGTATGTATGATTAGTTGTTAGTGGATATAATAACATAATATTTAAAATAAAATGATTAAAATTAAATTGATGTAAAAGTAAGAGAGAGAAGATGTGATGTGATAGTTAGTTAAATTTATGTGAGTAGATGAATAGTGAATTAAGGTTGATGTTGTGTGTAAGAATGATTGATTGATATTATTTAATTATATTGATAATATTTATGATAGTGAGTTGAGTTAAAGTTGAGTTAAAAAAAGTGGTTAAGTTAAAAGTGAAAAAAAATTTTGAATTGAATTTGTATCCAATCATGCTCTTAACGAGTCGAATTCAAGTCTTATATATATTATTTTAAAATCATATTTTATTTCATTGAATAAACAAAACGTGTATAATTGTGACGTTATCATGATACTGCCATTCATCC